AGGGACTGGCTGCAGGGGGGGTAGGGAATGGGGCCCGGGGCCTGTCCTCTCCACGGGATGGTTCAGAGGGAGGGTGCTGAGCAGCAACGCTGAACTCCGGTTCCCCTTCCATCGGGCCAGCTCTGTCTCCCTCCCTTTCCCCCGCAGTTACGCCATGGCCGTGGCCAACGGGTCCGTGAACGTCACAGTCGTGTTCCCGTATATCAGGTAGGTAGGTCATAGGCTGGTCTCAGCCCCTTGTGTTAATCCAGAGTCGGATGGTTCAGAGGGAGGGTGCTGAGCAGCAACGCTGAACTCCGGTTCCCCTTCCATCGGGCCAGCTCTGTCTCCCTCCCTTTCCCCCGCAGTTACGCCATGGCCGTGGCCAACGGGTCCGTGAACGTCACAGTCGTGTTCCCGTATATCAGGTAGGTAGGTCATAGGCTGGTCTCAGCCCCTTGTGTTAATCCAGAGTCAGTCCTGTTTGCACTGGGGGCGGGGCGGGGTTCTGATCTCAGCCCCTTGGGTTAATCCAGAGTCAGTCCTGTTTGCACTGGGGGCGGGGCGGGGTTCTGATCTCAGCCCCTTGGGTTAATCCAGAGTCAGTCCTGTTTGCACTGGGGGCGGGGCGGGGTTCTGATCTCAGCCCCTTGGGTTAATCCAGAGTCAGTCCTGTTTGCACTGGGGGCGGGGCGGGGTTCTGATCTCAGCCCCTTGGGTTAATCCAGAGTCAGTCCTGTTTGCACTGGGGGCGGGGCGGGGTTCTGATCTCAGCCCCTTGGGTTAATCCAGAGTCAGTCCTGTTTGCACTGGGGGCGGGGCGGGGTTCTGATCTCAGCCCCTTGGGTTAATCCAGAGTCAGTCCTGTTTGCACTGGGGGCGGGGCGGGGTTCTGATCTCAGCCCCTTGGGTTAATCCAGAGTCAGTCCTGTTTGCACTGAACGTGGGGCAGGGGCAGGGCTTGGCCGTGCATCTGTCGGGGTCTCTCTGCTCTTTCCCCAGCACCTGTGGCTCCGACCCTCCCCAAAGCTGCATTTTCTCCCAAATACTGAACATGGGGGCCTTCCTCGGTGAGTGATGCCTCCAGGCTCCCCTCCCCCGGCAGGGCCTGGCTGGCTCAGGGTGAGGGGCCTGTCTCCTCTGGGGGGCACCGGCCCCTCTGGCCTGGGCTCTCTCCC